AACAGTAAATGCTAAATTTTCTCTCAAGTTTAAAGTTTTTTAAACTCTTGACTCAGTGAATTCAACAAGTTTGTTCATCGAAAATCCGGCTCTTTCGTAAACGAGTCCAATCTACCTTCATTTTAGATGTCCATTAGAATACTTGTCATTTTGAAAACACTGAAGTTCAGGTCAGAAGTACGTGTTCTTGGGATGCAGCAATATTAACTGTATTTCAGTTTAGGTGGAGAATTGTGGAATAACTTACAGTTTCATCTATAACTGCATGCAATCAACTCCAAAATGATTGAGTCTCAATCGAGCGACCATTGTTTTGATTTAAAAACAAGTTTGAATGATGTTGTCTTAGCTGAGTATTTTTTACATATGCTGCCAATGGATTCCTTCAAAATCCTTTACAACTCTGACCAATCAAGAATCGCATGCTAAAATAGCTCAGGCTTGCGCGCGGAGCTAAAAATAGATTTTCAAGAAACTTTCATGGGTCACAGGGATATGCTCTCTTACTTCATATTCTCTTGGTATTACCATATAGTGAAAATTAGTACCATCTTTTGGTATATCAAATTACTTGATTCCAAATCTGTTCTACTATCCCAGCAAACTGCTCAACAAAACCTTTATTTCCTAACTCTAACAGATAAAATAATCCTCAAGACCCAAGAAAACCCAGGAAAAAGCTATTATCATTATTATTAACATATATATATATATATTTTTTTTTTGATATACGTTTTTATCGAAGTAATGTTTTTTGCTGCAGAAATAGCCATCACGCGTCACGCAATTCTTTGTTTAGATCCCACGGAGTTCGTCTGTTTTCTATTCACTTACAATAGAAAGTGTAAACGGTGGTAGTTTAATAGTGGAGAGTGGTACTCAGGGCAAAAGAACTGTTTTAATCTCTTAATTCTTGGGATTTTCCTGCACACTTTAATAGCATGAAGATCAGAAAGAGAGGAACTATCATAATCGTGAAGATTAGGCAAGGATAAACTACTAGGATTTAACTCTATTAAACCTCTACACACATTTGTTTCCGAACTGTGCTATTTCTTCAAAACGAAAAGGAAAACTCTCTAGAAGGAAGAAAAATATCTTCATTTTTTGTGTCAAAATCTAAAAAAGAAATTTTTCTTAAGCTTGTTGATTCATGATTTGGAAAGCTTTTTTTTTCGATCAAGGTTCGCGCCAATCATCATCCCATATTTGGTCAAAGTGACGTATTTGAGACGAGAATTAAAATTCCTGGAAGTTCGACAACCTACTTCACTTTTACTTGACCCTTCGTTGTAGCCAGAAAGTATAAGTTTATGCTCTTCTTTGGGTGTGAAGTGTAAGTATAATTTTTGATAATATTCTTATATATTATATTACCATATCTAGCCTTGATTTATTGGGCGATAGAAGTAGGCAAAGGTTTGGATTTTTTTTCCAGAAGAAAAAGAGCTATCTAGAGACTGTGCAGCATTTTTCCAGCTCAGCTAATCTTTAAACAAAAAAGGTATGTAGAATTTTCTCTTTCCAACTCGATGACAACAGCTTGCATATATATCAATGCTCTTGGATTCATGCTGACTTGAACATCTTCTTGGTTATTGAATCTTAAACTTTAAACAAGCTTAAAACTCTTACAAAAAAGAACGACTTAATTAGTTTCCTTCAAGATCGAAACACAGCTGGGACTCATTTTCCAAGAATGCTAACTTAATTCGACAAAAAGAAAATAGAAATACTTAGTTTGATGCCTATTAACTGCAAAGTTGCCTTTTTGAGACCGATTTTTCGTTAACCAAAGCATAGTTTTTCAAGTACACTAGACTAACACTCTTTTAATTTTATTACATTCATAACACCACAGGCAATCCATTTTCACATCTGACATCTGCAGAATTCATCATTTCTGGCTTTACCCTTTATTAGCCTTATATATTAAGGTTATAAAAGTTTTAATGAATGCAAATACTCATCTTTGTATCGTTGTCTTGGACAATGTTTATTTTACGATGTAATTATTAGTGAAAAAATATTTTTTGGTTTGCTTGGACGAAAATCAGGCAAGTTAAATTTTACTAAGAAACGAACTGAAATAGTTGAAGAGCAAAAATAGCATCGAAATCAGTAAGTCGTCTTTTATTAAATTTATATATTGAGGTCATAGTAATCTTCTTATTGCTAAGTAATATTGTTGAACATATTAAACAGAATATTCAAGTTGAAAAGTTGTCGCGCGCCTTGGTTTTCTAGTATTTTTTTGTTTGTTTGTTTAGTCCTTTGCTCGTTCTAGACTCTAAAACAGGAATACTTTAAAACGGAAGTCGAAAAATCCAAGATATTTAATTGCCGAGCTTAATTACCATGCATTCGCTCCGCAAACCCCGTAAAAAAACATGATCTTTGAAACAAGAGGTGGTTATTCAGTTCGAAAATATCGCGTAAGGGCATAACTTGCAGTCATTGCAGAACTGCTGAGACATGTTATACGCGCTCACCACTCTCATTACCACTATGTACATACAGTCATTGAGAATTTAAAAACAGCACACATTTATTCTCTTTTGCAAGAGTTTATTCCACACTGCAACCCTATTGTCTGTCTATTTGTTGTCGGCGAAAAAAACCGAAATCTACTTAACTCTAGATTTTAAAATCTACTATGATTGACAAGTTTATTTTTCAAGTCAGACTTGATAATTTCTTTCTCGTCATGTTAGTAAATTCCTTTCTTTATTTAGATAGACATGTTAGCTCAGAGAGTGTTTTAAGCTGTCGCTGGTGAAAACAAAGCAAAATATTCTGATAATCGATCCCGACATGAACTTATATTTTATATGGTTGAAATTTTGAAGTCGACCAATTTTACTTGAATAATGTACGAATAATTTTTTGTAAAGTGAAGTAAAGTTGCAGAAATAAAGATTACACTACAAGCAGAGGTAACTTCAAGTTTCCCCTCTGTATTGGGCTGAGAGAGACAGGAAAGCCAATTGTAAAACGGAGGGCAGAAACTGAAAGACATCTGCAATTAGGCTAAAAAAAGACCTGGCAGTCGTAATGATTACTGGGAAAATGTAAAGTTATTTTATAAACGCCTCTATGAACAGGACAACGCGAGACGGCAGTGAGATGCATGGTAGCCACAGGCATTTAAACTGAAAAAGGTTGAGGTTCTTAGGAAAAATGAAGTATTGACTCCCACATGGTGTGGAAGGTGAAGCTTAAAGTACCTCTCTAGAGGTCGATATTATCGAGACTATACTACACTATGCTCGCTCATGCATGAGTTTTAACAGAGAAGAAGCAGCTGTCCACGGTTGCCTTACACTGTCGTAGTTTGTTGCGCATGCTTGGACGTTATGAATACCGACTGTTGTCTAGTATGTGCAGAACAGTGTTATAATCAATAGTTTTTTAATAATCCAACGGTAGTTTGTTGAAGCTACATTTATACACTTGCTTACAGATGTGTGGTTTGATGCGAGATTCCCTTAGGCGCCAGCCAGTAACCAATATTTCTACATTGTGTCTTGTACCACATTTTTACGGGGTCTTTAAAACACAGACATGCAGAAGGACATCCTACAACAGAAGTCGAGAGCTGTAACGGATGTGACATCAAGCGGACCAGACCATTTTTTAAAGATATTTTTGCTTTACTTTCTTCCGCAGAGTAAGATTCATAATTTATTTTTGAGATGTGATCCATTGAGATTAAAATTAATTTACTTCGGGTTTGAAGAAAATTTTGTGACTGTGGAAAACGTATCGTAGGTAGGGATGTTCTGTCCCAAGACTGCAACGGTGCTATGTCCGAGAATTTTGATTTGATAAGCAGTATTATATCGTGCAGACAACAGATAGAAAAACAAACGACAAATAAGCAAGAAAGCAAGCAAGCAAACAATCTTATAACGCACGCACGCACGCACACACGCACGAACTAACACTTGAACGAACGAACGAAGTGACGCGCGCACGAGGCACTCACGAACGAACGAAAGAGCAAAACATGAATAAAGCAAGTGAACGAACGAAGAATAAAACAAATAAACAAATAAACAACGACAAAAAGCAAACACACTAACAAACAGACAGGTAAGTAGGCAGGCATGCAGACAAGGGTATGGAGCGAGCGAGCGATCGATTAAGCAAACAAACATAGAACTTCGATTTTTAGACGTGTTTTGAATTACCTTTTGGATCTCCAGCTGCATCAAGCCACTGACCGCTATTTTCTGAAATTAATAACCATCCGATTTCATTAACGAAAACATCCATCTTGCATACGCAATTTTGGGTTTATTACAATTGACCCCTTGCAGTACACGTCGGATTATATGCACCTCAATTTGGAGGACATAACAATAGGTTTCCAATTCTCAGGAGATTGAAATTCTTTTGTTTTGTCCTCCAGATTGAGCTGCTTAGACGTCACATGCAAGGGATCTATAGTTCCTAAAGATTCATTTGTACAGGTTACCTCGTTTGAGAGCAAATCATTTGCAAAAGAAAACTGTATTGTAAAGAATGTGCAGCTTGCTTGAACAATACCAATGTTTTGAAATCCCACGAACATTCAATTACGGTATCTGTAAATAGCTGACTTATTAACAAAGTTTAACCTGCAGAACTTTGTTTGTGAATTATCTACTCAAGAAAACACGAAGTTTTTGCCAAATCTAAGGTATTGTATGAGGGTATTAGGAAGATACGTTTTTATTGTGGAAGGGGTGGCTTCGAGTATGGGGTCAAGAAATTCGTTTTGATACCGTCATACCATTCTCTTAAAGAAAAGACAACGAAGAAAAAACAAATAAAGAATTGAAAGAAAAGAGATTTATAAATAGTTTTTTTTTTCATGGAATGTTATAGTTTTTTGCTGATTTGCCTCCCCCACCACCCCACTAGATTGAAAAGTTTACATTAGGGTCATGTGACCTTACCCCACCTAAAGTTGGCAGTCATGATGAACACCAGAAATATGAAAAAGAAGTCATTATTTAATATTATCTATTTATATTAGTTAGAATTAGGGCGAAGTGTCATGTGAGTGACACATGACACATAACACAGGTCACATGACATAGGTCGCATGACACAGGTCACATGACACATGTCACAGGACACATGTCACAGGACAAATGACACATGTCACAGGACACAGGTCACATGACACAGGTCACATATCACAGGTCGCATGACACAGGTCACATGACACAGGTCACATGAAATACCACTTTTAAAAATAAAAACGATGCGAGCAGATGAACACCATAATTGAAAAGAGCAATTTGATATTAACTTGTAAGAAGATGAAACGTTTCAGCTTATACCAAGTGATTTTTAGTTCGTGCGAAGCAAAATGAATTAAACTGATCAAGATAATTTTTTCCTAAGAGAGAAAGCATCCTGAAATAAGTTTTCTCTTCCACTACAATCCAATTCCACTCAAACTTTAGATTGATTTTTTTGATAACTTGGTATAATTCTTTATTATATTTGATTACTTTGGACTGCTATATCAGTCATCCAATCAAGATCGACTACGTGTCGTCTTGAGCTTAATTTCAACTGCGCATGCGTACAATTGAACACTTACCAGATGGCAAGGTGATTGCGATGAAAAACAAGAAAACTGCCAACACTTGCATATTCGAGCCGCAAAACGACCTAAAAATAAATAAATAAATAAATCATATAATGCTCTCTTGATATAGCGACGAAACATACCCCACACGAGAAAAGGACTGACTTTCGGTTTTAATTTTTAACGGATTGCATGAGATCGTGACAAAGAACCTCGCCAGATGGCAGCAGTTATTTCTTCACAAACCATTCAATTTTATTCTTTTCCGTTTTCTAAAGATAGAAACAATGGTTGCCTTTATCATTATTATAAACAAGCAAAAAACCTCTTGCAAAAATTTGAAAAGAATATTTTAATTCGTCGGATCGAGCCGCAATGCAACCACGTACCAAGTATAAAAAAGATATAAGCAAAGCAAAAACCGAAAACTTTGATGATATTTTCTGAAAATCATACGTTTTATATTTTCTCAAAGTTAAAAATAAAAAGCTCCTATAGTGAGCTTTTTATAAGTAAAGTTAGGTAGATTTATAGATAAAGAAGATATATGCATTCATCATCTGTCACTTGATTTGAAGGATTTGTTTTTCCGCTCGACATTTTTTTCTGGTTTTTATTTATCTTATCTTGAGTTTTAAAAACACCTTTGGGAGATTTTAATATGAAACGTAATGAAGTTTGAGTTAAAATTACAAATAACAGAATCTGTGCTTTTAAGATGACAATGCTTGAACGTATAGAATCTTATTTCGAAACAAAAGTAAGTTTTATTCCTCGAAGAAAAATCAGAAAACTTCGAATTTAAAAAAAAAAAAAAAAAAAAAAGAACAAATTCAGCAAAAATACTCACATAAGCTATAGATGTCCTTTGCTGACATGAATCTCTTGACAAATGCTGAAGCTCGCTTTTTTATTAAAAGAAAAACGTTTGGCGAATAACAGGAGAGCAGCTCTCTCATTGGCTTGTAAGTATATTAATATTTAAATGTCGAAAAGCAGATGTTAGCAGAAAATTGTTCGAGAAGCTATCAAGGTTGTGAAGTCACCTAATTTTTGAAGTTAATTGAAAAAATTTGAAGAGACTTTAGGTTGTTATTGGAAGGTTTGGTTTAAGTATCAAAGCATTTTTTTTTATTCATGTCAGGCTCATAAACATATTAAATTGCAGATTGGTTTTATTCTGGGTAAATAAGACGTTGTGCCTGAAAAACAAAATGTAGTCTTTCAAAGAGTTCATATTTTCGAAATTGGGGTATTTAATGAGTTTTTGTTCGCCATTAAATTATCTTATTACTAAGCAGGAAATATGAATTCGTAGCGAATATATTTGAAGTGTATTTCAAAATCACTTATATGTGAATAATGTAGTAGTATGTTTGCAGTATCTTTGTATGTAACATTTTCTTTTAGGAGATATAAACATTTGAAATATCAATATGCAAATGAGATGACGTAAATTCAAGACTAATTTATTATACAAAAATGCTGCTGTGGAAAGTACTGCTGTTTTTCCATTCGCAAATCATCCTTATAACTGAAATATATGGCTTTGTACACTTTTAGGTTATTTCACTTCAGAACACTTGTCGTAAATTACACTGTAAAATGTAACCTATTCTTGAATTTATGTCCTCTCATTTGCATATCGATATTTCAAATGTTTGTATCTCTGAAAAGAGAAGGCCACATACAAAAATACTGCAACCATAATACTGCACTGTTCACATATGAGTTAACATATGAAAATAAATTTTTTTCCTCGATATACAATTTAACCACATCAGTGAGTTTGGTCCATCTTGATTGCCTTGTCATCGGTTCTACAGATGTTTTTTTGTAGATAGATAAAAAAAGAAAAACGTCGATTTGCAGTTCCATTTGCAAAATCTACGACGGAAACGTCAACCGGAAGTATAAATAACTTAACTTTTGAGTATCACACTTTCAAAGTCTGTCTTCCCTGTGGAATAGTTGACTTTAGGGACCGGTCATTATTTACAAGGAGGGAGAGGGGGGGTTGGCTGGTGGAAATGAGGGGAAGACCAAATATTTTTGTGCACTAAAAAAGATGGGGACCAAAAAAAATTGTGTAATAGATACTTGTAACCTTGTGTTAGACACTAGTCAATTAATCTTTTTTTATTAATTGGGAGGGGACGGGGGATCATTAAAATTTGAGGGGGGACAAAACAAAATTAAGCATCACATTTCTCATTTCCACCAGCCTCCCCCCTCCTTTCCTGTAAATAATGACCGGTCCGTTACTAAAAAAAAAACTAACCCCAAAGACCATTTTTTACCCGTTACGCGTCGTGACTTCGCCGTTGTAGATTTTTCAAGCCTAAAGTCCCTAATACCAATACCAACGGCATAGCACACTGACTGAGAAGAATAAAAGACTGTGAAATTATAGTCAGAGACCAAACATTTCAAGTAGAGTGCATACCATATATCAGTGAATAAGTTAACTAACAAAATTGTACAAATTATAGTTCAAAGTTTTATAGGTCTACGGTCTACTAAGGTCTTGTGAACTTACAAATTTGTGCAATTTCTTGCCAAGTTTTTGACGGATATATGGTATACACTCAAATAAATAGCAATGAGTTTGAATAATTAGTCATTTCTCTTCTGTTTTACAAGGTGCGGTACTCGTGAAGATCAAAGTCATGGCGAATCCAGAAGCAGCTGCAAAGTAAGGTCCCGTCCACATGCATCCGAATATTTTTGAACCGCAATTTTTCGTCGTGGATTCGAAAAACATAGTGTCCACAAGAAGCGTAATGGAATCGTATTAGCCCGTCCATACATATACTGATATCTTTGAATTACATATATACTTTTTCGTCTTTACCTCTCTTCCAAACATATCCGGTGAATTTGTTTGAAAGCGCCCTCGTGTGGAAAGGTCGCAATCGTATATTTTTGTAAACGAAGATGACGGCGTATTGAAAAAGCACTGATTCAGCATGCAAACGCAACTCAACGCGAAAGAAGACGGCGCGCACCAGGACAAATGGCTTTCAATACGTCCGTTGACGTCGCGACGTTCTGAACAGGACTTGAAACCAGGCGAAATGGGGTCCTGAATGTGGCGTCGCGACGTGGCGTCAACGGCCGTCCAACCGAGGCCTTACTCACTGCGCATTCAAAAACGAAATCCCGTCTGGAAAACGTATGTGAAATAAAAATTGCGAATTCATGAATCGCATTCATCGGCCCATGTAGCTGAATGGGAATCCAATCACGCAAAGAAAAAGTTGGGAATCCAAAAATATCAGAATACTTGTGGACGGGGCCTAAGACTTCATTTATGATTCCTCAGCCTACAGAGACACAACATTCTCCATCATTTTATTTACTTTCTTTATCATTCAAGACTGAAAGCAAAGAATACCTTCCCTACTCTCCTCAACGATCCCAAATGCAACCCCAAAAGTCTGCTCAAGAAGTACTTGACTCCCAAAGTCTTCGACTCACTCAAGAACAAGAAGACCAAGCTTGGTATTACCTTGTGGGATTGCATCAATTCAGGAGTGGCCAATCTCGACTCTGGAGTCGGTGTCTATGCAGGTATCGTTCCGTTTTGATATAATCTTCAATTCAATAATTCCAATTGTCAAATTAAAAAATGTTTTAACATCCTTAGCTCGTATTCTTTTTTTTTTTTTTTTTTTTTTTTTTTTTTTTTTTTATTTTTTTTTTTTTTTTTTTATTACTCATCCTACTCGAATTACTAAGCATTCTGCTGCCTTGTAAATATATCCCTTAATTTTTTTTCGAAGACTTCTAAACGCCAGCTAAGCCACTGAACCGATTCAATAGTTCCCTTCACAGTTCCAGGCGCCATCTTGAAAGGTATACCCGTGCCTTTGCATCGAAGCGAGACGAACGGTGAGCTTTCAATGATAGAGACGTGTGAATAATTGTCCAAGGTGTTAAAAAAAGGTCTCTATCGTTGCAAGTTTACCATTCGTCTCGCTTCGATGCAAAGGCACGGCTACCTTTCAAGATGGCGCAGGGAACTGTGAAGGGGACTATTACAATGTAGGCTACACCTTCGTAGAAGTACTCTTGATCGATCTTTTAGCTGATATGGTCCTTGACAGCTCAGAAATGCCTTTTATTGCATTACAACTTCCTTAGAACGAATAAATGAGTGAGCACCCCACAGTCGAAAAGCGAAAGCACGACATCATAGCTGGTCATCAATAATGGCTAGAAAAAGCCAGGGCCCGAGCTTAGTCTCCTGTGGAACTCCGGCAGGCACAATTTGCATTTGCATCTTTGCAAACGATTACTTATTAAGAAATCGCCAATTCACCTGATTATATAAGGAATGATATCGTAAATTAAAAGCTAGTTTATAAATAAAGATTGGCAGTGATCTATTAGATCAAAAGATTACAAGCCTTCCTCTAATCCCCCTAGGTCCTTAGGTCACTGTTTGTGACAATTTAAGCTTTCCCTTTAGAGCAGTTTTCGTGTGACTGTAAAAAAAGTCGGTCCCGTGCACGTGCCATGCCGCGAACGTGATGTCTTCTAGAATTTTGATAAGGGGATTTTTTCTCGCGCAATGTGACTGGTCTGGCGTATGTCTTGCTATGCCACGACAGCGTTCATGCCGTGAGCTTTTCACAGTCCTACGGAAATTGTTCTAGTCCTACACTCCTAATGCTTGATATTTTTGTTCCAGGTGATGGGGAGTCATACACACTCTTTGCTCCCTTGTTCGACGCCATCATTGAAGACTACCATAGTCCTTACAAACTTGCAAATGGCCACAACTCAGATATGAACCCAGAGCGTGTCGAGGCCCCAGATCTGGACCCTGCCAACAGGTACATCCGATCAACAAGAATTCGCGTGGCTCGAAGCCTTAAAGGCTATGGCTTAGCTCCAGGCGTTACCAAGGCTCACCGCCTAGAAATCGAAAAGAAGGTTGTTGGAGTACTGACATCTTTGACTGAAGATTTGGCAGGGAAATACCACCCACTGTCTGGCATGGATGAGAAGACGAGGCAACAACTGGTAGACGACCATTTCTTGTTTAAGAAAGGTGATCGATTTTTAGAAGCTGCTGGAGTCAACAAGGAGTGGCCTGAAGGAAGAGGAATCTTCCACAACAATGACAAGACCTTCCTCGTATGGGTCAATGAAGAAGATCATTTGCGTATCATCAGCATGGAGAAAGGAAGCGATATTGGGTCAGTGTTCAGCAGACTTTGCCGTGCTGTCAATGAGATTGATAAAAAGTTGGGCTTCCAACATACCAAGAAGCATGGTTACCTGACATCATGCCCATCAAACCTTGGAACAGGAATGCGGGCTAGTGTCCATGTCAAGATTCCCCATGCTAAAGAGCACCCTGACTTCGAAAATATCCTAACAAAGTACCACATACAGGCCCGTGGTATTCATGGCGAGCACTCAGAGTCAACTGGCGAGGATGCTGGTGTTTATGACATTAGTAACCGTCGACGCTTGGGTCTTTCTGAGGTTCAGTGTGTTCAAGATATGTACGATGGTGTCAAGGCCTTAATGGAGTTGGAGAAGGAAGCAATTGAGTAAGTTGAGCCAAGGCATTTTTTTTCCTTTTTTTTGGAAATCGATCCTTCCTTCAGCCTAGCTAGGAAACAAAAACGTACCCTAGTTCCAGTTTTTATTTTGACTTTCATTGTTGTTCTTGCTGCGCCTCAAGGGCATAGCGAGGTCTCGGTCATAAGGAGGAAGGGGCAATGCGGCTGCAGCATTGTTTTTGATGCATCTATACAGTCAGTTTTTAAGCTGATAAAATGGTAATTGTTATTTGTTACTACGTACTGCACATACTACTCGGATAGCTGCTGCACTCGTATTTCAGTTCTGCTATTGATCCATACATTTGATGTTGTTGATGGCTGTTGCTTTTCATTGTGTTGCTGCTTCTATTTCTGTTGCTGTTGTGCTACTGCTGTTGCTTTTGTAGCTGATGCTGTTCATGTTGCTGTTGCTGCTTCTATGGCTGTTGTTGTCGATGCTGCTGCTGTTGTTTTTGATGCATTGTCGTTGCTACTACTGCTTGTGTTGTGGTCAATGAATACACTGTTTCTACTTTACTGAATCTGCGGAGCAGAGTTGATGTCATAGTTTTTTGCCCATCTAACAGGGAATTTCCTCAATTATTTTACAGAAAGAAACGTTCAGTGTTTCCTGAAGTTCTCAAGAACCCTGAGGTTAAATCGCTACTACGAAAGTACCTCACCCCTGAATTGTTCGATTCCTTGAAAGACAAGAAAACAGCCAAAGGAATTTCCATTTACGACTGCATCAACTCAGGCGTCGAGAACCTGGACTCATCCTGTGGTGTGTATGCTGGAGACGAAGAATGCTACACTCTCTTTGCTCCACTGTTCGACAAGATTGTCGAGGATTACCACTCGCCGTACAAACTTGCCAACAAACATACCTCTGATATGAATCCTGAGAAAGTGGACGCGCCAAATCTGGACCCCGAAGGAACGTATATTAGATCCACAAGGATCCGTGTTGCTCGTAACCTGAAAGGATATGCTCTAACACCAGGTCTCACAAGGAACGAAAGATTGGACATCGAGCGTAAGGTACGAAAATTTAAACAGCCTCAATAAGTAACATCAACTCCAAACTTTCCATCCCCTTTATAGAACGGTTTCATGGCAAACATGTTGAAGGACAGGAAAAAACAATTGTTTCTTATATCAGCGCTCTTTTTTATATAATTGTTTTTTAAATAAGTGACCTATTGACCCTGGAAGGTCTTTTATTCAGATTAAACATAAACAACATTTCCAATAGCTCTTGAACATGACTTGCTTTTGTCAAAGCTTTGCAATTTTCAGATAAAAACCTGTCTCATTTGACATTTGATTCTCAGCTGGTACATCCGGTTCTCATTGTCTAAATTTCAGCCTGGGGCGAGGTTCTTATTCCATTCGTTCTTTTATGCGTGTTTTTACTCTAGCTAAATAAACAATTTTTTGTCGATTTTTAGGTGGTTGGTGTGCTTTCCTCTTTGACTGGTGACTTGGGAGGCCACTACTACCCACTGACAGGAATGGATGAGGTTACCAGGCAGAAATTGGTGAACGACCATTTCCTGTTCAAGAAAGGCGATCGCTTCTTGGAAGCTGCTGGAGTAAATAAACTCTGGCCTGAAGGCAGAGGAATCTTCCACAACAATGACAAGACCTTCCTCGTATGGGTTAATGAAGAAGATCATTTGCGTATCATCAGCATGGAGAAAGGAAGCGATATTGGATCAGTATTTAGCAGACTCTGCCGTGCTGTCAACGAACTAGACAAACAATTAGGCTTTCAACACACTGATGCTCATGGCTATTTGTCTGGTTGTCCCACCAACCTTGGAACTGGAATGAGAGCAAGTGTTCACATCAAGATCCCTAAAGCCAGTGCCCACCCTGATTTCCAGAAGATCTGTAACGAATACCACATCCAAGCCCGTGGTATCCATGGTGAACACTCRGTRTCYACTGGAGAAGATGCTGGTGTATTTGACATCAGTAACCGTCGACGTCTTGGTCTGTCTGAAGTACAATGTGTACAAGACATGTACAATGGAGTCAAGAAACTTTTGGAGATTGAGAAGTCATCCGAATAGAAACATTTTACATTTACAAACAAACTTCGACAAAAAGTATGACATGTTCTTTTTGAAATGAGTAAGAAGATGTAATTTTTTTGGCTTCTAGCAGGAGTGTGTTGACATGTGTGTGTGTGTGTGTGCTCTGGCGTGTTTTTTGATATATTTTTAAGACCGGAATTTGAAGAAGAGGAAAATATGGAGATTCGTTTAATTTGGAGCATCAGTAATTTGAAATTTTATGAATGCATTAAATATAAAACCATCTCTGATATTTCAGTTTTCTGTCTGAAAACTGTCGTATTGATTACAAGGTTCCTCACGCGGGCTGCTCTTTTCGCCGCCCTACTACACGGAGAACTTCAATTTTCTCGCAACTTATCACGCAATGACGTTGCGACACACCGTCATCATTATCCCCCATTTTCAAGAAGTCTGGGGTTTTGGTAGTCTCCTACTCCCCTAAGTAGGTACTTGGCTTCGGCCGCTAATCAAAATTTCAAAACGGGGAATCAATTCACTTCTGGGTCCTCGTGTTCGGTTCCTAGACTCGCCATTAATTATTAAGTAGAGTTTGTTAGGTTTCTTCCTTATGATTCGAAGGCTTTTCAATGGGTAGGTTCCTTCCCTTACAAGATTAAGCGAAATTGCTAAGCTATTGTTGTTGATTGTAGTTTCTTGTGATTGGCTCTAGTCCTCATTCTTCGTTATGATTGGTTAAGGGTTTAAGTGGTGATCACTAGCGATGCCGGGAATCGGAGTAGGAAGCAGCTGATGACAAATTAAATATCAGACACATTTTTAATTCCTCTTGCACCCAAGGTATACGTAGTGCTTTTTTACGCTTGTGGCGAGTGATTTTCACTTTCAATTTCATGTGAACTGCTGCTTCCGACTTTCCACACAACTAACAAGCCTTAACTGTGTAAATATGAGAGTTTTCTCCAATATACATGTAAGATCTCATAAAGCCTAACTTAGAACAAGGCGATTAGGGCCATTTCCCCGTTAATTGATTGTTATAACATGTTTTTTTGTTAGTTCTGCAGTGGTTGTTGACCAACACAAGACCAATGAACGTCTCTTGAATTGCTGGTGGTAACACCCAAAACAAATTATCCCCGTTTCAAGAAATTTCAAAATATAGCCTACTACTAAAACAGGGCCAGATAACTTGTTGATAATAAAATAAAGGCAAAAACGTCTTCAGAAGTTCTCGCTTTTCAACCAGTGTAAATCTGAATTGAAACCACTAGATTGAAAATCTATCCAGTTATTCCAGCGGTTCACTAGTACAAGATCAAAACTCATATATTTGGTCAGTAGTGTACATGCCACATGCTTCACTAGGTCTGACTATACAAATGTCAAACTCATCTTCGATCTTTTTTACTCCGACGAAGGACTAGCGTCCGAAACATCAGTAAGTTTTTTTCATCTTTTCACGGTGTAAAATTTACCCTTTTATCATTGCAGTTTCATTGGAAACACCGACGCACCTCACATTAGTTTTTTGCTAGTTATCTCTTGGATCTTTTTTAGTTTAGTTTTCGAATTCTTGTTCATTTTTCAAACCAGATACTCTGTGACCTGGCTTGTCGACAATAAGTAATGCCAGGATATTATTGGAATTCATCACGACTTCCCAACATTATTTTTTTGCATATGTGGATGCTTCACAGAACATTGTTATTTATTTATTAACACACCAACAGGTAACCAACTTATGAAATAACGATATAACATTTCCCGTTCCATGGATTTGTAAAAAAGCACAATACTATGAAATATCGCCATTGAAGTTCAAGGTAAGTCTTACATTATATTTCGTACCAGAGTCTTGGAAAAAGAACTAAAATTCATTGACGGTCAGCTTTGTTTAAACCAGTCCTATCATGAAGCGAGTCACATTCATCCAAACGATCTTTCCTTATTCAGATTTAACTACGTTGCCAATTAATTCCGTAATTTTCTAAAATAAATTACCATCTCTCAAGACACTATCACCTTCTCTCGTGCTAGTACGTACCTTCAAATTTTATCGCTCAGTACCCTCTGGGCTGATCGAAATCAGGGCGGGGTGCGGTTGACTCACAGATTAGATCTTAAATCAGATCAAATTGTAATTTAGACTTCTTAAGTTGGAGGGAGGAAAAACGGAGAATCAACTGAGAGAAACCGACTTAAATCATGGGAGAAACCTAATAAATTCTACTAAAATCTGATGCTAAGCCCAGAAATCAATCTCGAGACCCTAGAGGATCCAATACCCCAATCAAATACAATATTCTCTTTTCTCTTCCCAAGTCTTGATACCCCTACTATCAAACTCCTCTACTATGTTACTTACTCCAATTCAACTTCTTTGGGAGTCTCAAGTTTAATTGTGTTAATTAGGCTGAGCTAGAATGAGAACTACACGATAAGGATTTTGGTATCAAGATATGAAAATTAAGCCTCTTAACTCGCATTTATGAATCTGCAGCAACCAAATTAAACTGCATCAAACGATCTGAGCCGGTGACTTTTCCTAATACTAGGGCTGAAAGGACGTGCGCATATAATTCACCTGTAAAGCCGGTTGAATTTATTGAATTTGTAACGAGTTAAAACTACGTTTGGAAGTTAACTCGCTGCCTTACTCTCTTTATTTCAGCGGGGTTATGGAGTAAAATAACTGAATGATGAAGTCGACATGTTGGGCTTTTATAGTTGGTCTGGCTTGTCTTCATGTCGCCAGGTAAGAATTAATATTAACAAAACATGGGTTGGTCGATTATAAAAGAAAAAGAAATTAAAAAGGAAAGGAAAATAAAAGAATATAAATATGAAAAAAAAGACATACAGAGTTAACAAGAAAGAAAAAGGGTTAACTAGGATTTTCCTACAATATCATAACTGTTTAATCAGGGTAGTCCATGTTCGCAGCGAGGGTATGAGGGCATGCGCTTTGACTAAAAACCATAAATTTCCCTAATTTTTCCTGTTTTGTTGGGCTACCTGTGAATTTTTGGCGGGAATTTTCGCGCCAAAACGCGCGTGCTCTCCCCTCTTCTCCTCTCCTCCTCTCCTCCTCTCGCTACGTCATTAGTTTAGTGATCTATAAAACTCTTGTTCGACCTTGCTCTGTTTCAACAGAGGGTTGCTGGTGCATCAGGATAAGAAAATAGCCAGAAGGAAGGAGAAAAATGTCAAAGGTGAATATGATGTAGTCTGCGTGCGGCCGGACTTTTCTAGAGGCCGGCTGCACGCATGCTAATATCATGCAGCTTTTCCTCTTATGACTTTAAAAAGAGGGTCCTGAAAGGATCGGGGGGAGGGGGGGGGGTTCCTAATCCCATTTCCCAGCTCCCATTTTGACAAAATCATATAGTCCCAGCCTATGTTTAACTCAAATCTCAATCCCATTCCCAAGTTTTTTACTAGTGTTTTTTCTTTATTCGTAACTGAATCACCCAGCCCAAAAATTGGCGAATCCCAATCTTCAAAACCCTCTAAAGAGATCCTAGCAAATTTTTCTCGATTCTGATTGGCTAACGCTTTTTCTCAGATTAGCTCGCCTGTCATCTCTTCTCTGATATTTTGAGCTTTGAATTGGGCTTCCTGTGTTAGAAATGAAAAGCCCGCTGGTCGATGTCCCGCAGGCCAACAAATTGTTACTGTACAAGGACAACAATTGGGAACAATTTGAAAGCCTTAAAAAATTCCCGTTTCATTTCTGAATCCAAATGCGTGCAAACTGGAATAACATTGCTATTACAATTCTCTTCGTGTTAGTCGTCGTAGTTTTTTATAAATTAGCGAGTTATCCTCGAGTAAGTCCACTGAATAAGATGACTTCCAAGATGAAAGGTGAGCTCATAGGACACTAGCTCCACGTTCAGCTTATAAGCTTAATAGGCCCTTTTATCTGGCTTAACGTGTAAGGTAATAAGACCGTTCTAGGCCCGGGTGCTAAGATAACATTTAGCTTTTAAGCGGAAGGACGTGGCGATGTAGGATGATTGTATAGCTCTGAAGTGTTTAGCTACAGTACACAGTAGGCAGGTGTTTTGATAATACTTATATTGTTCAAATTTAAGGTTATTACATTTGTATGCAATGCATACGTGGAATTAGAACGAACATGAAGAATTGGATAGAGAAATGTGTATAGATCTATGATCTCATGATGGCATTCATGGTTTGCGAGCATTCCCAAGAGAGTCAAAATGACTTGTGGATGGACATGTAATTGGTGCTAAAAATAAAACAAAATAAAATAAAACACCACCAATGTATGTTACAATTATGTGACATGCAAACGAAGAATGGAAACAAATTTCAAGGGTGATTGTATTACAAAAAAAAAAAAAAAGGGAAAATATTTTTTTAAACTTTTGTTTAAAAAATTGCTTTCACAATGAACTATGCATTTATTTATTTTTCCAAACTTCAACTTTTTTTATCTATTTTTCTTAAACTCAATTTTATCAAACTCATAACAACATCTGGGCCAATTTAAGTCAGGGTTTAATGCCTGTTATATGCAGTACTTACTGTACATACTTTTGCCATTTACAAACAATGTCCTGTTTTAATAGAAACAGCAACAGCAACAGATGTTTCTTCGGAAAAGATGGATACTTCCAGTGATGAATCTTCAGTATTTAAAGCCAAGCTTATTCAGGCAGAGGCTAAGATCAAAGAACTTAAAACATTGTTATATCGGAATGACCGAAGCACACAAGAAAGGGAGATGAAACAGGCTATCAAAGGGTAGGTCTGAACATACTGTATAACATGATTTCATTTCTATTTCACTATTTCAGATCAGCTGGATGTTTTACAAAAGGTTTGAACCCAACAATCAATTTACAATAGATGATTTATTTAGATGCAAGACTGCTTTCATAAATATTGCAAGCACAGACATTAAAATGAGGCATTTTCAGGAGAAATACCAAACAAAAAACAAAAGAAAAACAATATCATGCAGCTTTACAATCTACATAACTAGTCCCAATAGATGTAACAAAAGACCAGCATCAGTTAATAAATATAACCTGAAATTGCTTATATAAATTTTAGATTTTCGGGTCACAAGCTGGTCCATCTGGATCTCAAGGGAGCTCCTCCAAAAATGTCTTATCTTCTTAAGGTATGTGATTATAGTTGATATTAGATTCTCAAAAAAGCCAATAAGGCAATAYGCCATACTGCAGTAGGAGATAGGTCATTAAATACATTCAAGATCCAAGAATAGCTGGAATGACTTGTGTTTTTGCTAGTTCTTATTCTCGTCAAGAACATGGACCTTAGTGCTGAGACTGATTCGATCTTCTTTCTATCAACAAAAACATTTCCATGTGGAATGACCAATTGCCTGTCGCCTTAATGTTTGACAATGACAACGTTTATTGAAATACTTTAGGCGTAGTATATCTCTACTGTATTTGGCTGCACTTTTATTTGTTCTTAATAATAATAATAATTATTATTATTATTTATTACTATTATTTGTTATATTCTTTGCCTGTTGATTTTCTACAGTTGCTGCCATCTTTTAAAAAATGGGGAGCAACTGGCCTTCTGGTTGAATATGAARACATGTTTCCTTACCATGGGGAACTAGAGATTATCAAGACATCTATTGCTTACAGGTGAACCACAGCTCCACCAATATACCTCTCCTTTGTAACATCTTCTCACTTCAGTTTATGTGTCATTTCCTTGAGCATAAGATTCTTTGTTTGAGTTGTATGCATTCCATATTGACATGTATCTTCTCATGTGCAATAGTTAAACAAAAAAATGACAAGTAGTCTGAAATCTAAAACATTAGACCCAAGGTAAAGAGGTCACAGGCCAGTCTTTTAATTTTTCCTGGGAGAAAGAGGAACATACAGTATGAAAGTATATATTTTCAGTCGTCTTTGTTTTGTTTTGCCCCCTGRCAAGATTTGCCACCTTATCATCAAAGTACTTAGTTAGTCCATTGCATACATTAAACATTACTGTATATAACAAAGTTTACTATATTTACTTTGATATAGTTCCCAAGAAGTAACCCATTTCTTGGAAGAATGTGAGCGTCTTGAATTGATGGTTGTTCCTCTGATTCAAACATTTGGTCATTTAGAGGTAATATTAGTATGATATTATTAAGGTGGCTTGCAATTATTTGCCAGGATCATACCAYGTTTTTGCCAGGAACATTAACCAGAACACCCCAAAAACTGGATAAGATCCTGGCAATGTCCTCCAAAAATYCTTAAAGATTCTTAAAGATCCTTAACGATCCTAAAGGATCTCGTGCAAAAGCTTGCAGGATCTTTCAGTGTTTCCCAGGGAAAATCTTGGCAAAACCTTGCCTGATCCTGCCAGTTATTACCAGATCTTGCCAAAGGGAAAAGCTACCATAATTACTGCATGAGACAATTGACAAAATGAATTTAAAATAATTAAGTCGCATCTACACAAGCAAGTTTTCCTTGACAAGTATCCTTGACAATTTTCATTGCTGGTGTAGATGATCAGCAAGTTTTCTTTGACAATTTTTCCTTGACAAGGTTTTCACCTGACAAGTTTTTTGCAATGCCTTTTAATCAGCCGAGAATTAACAAAAAATTGGTTCCAGTCTCTTGTGCCACAAAAATCAAAAACAGCTTTTATTTATCACAATGTCCTTTATCACTGATTTATCACTTGAACTTACTTTTGCTTTAGCCGTCATTTTCTATTTTCATTTTTTATCTTACAGGAGCACACGGAAAGACTAGAACTAAACTCATTAATTTTCTTTGGCACATTTTCCTTGTTGTCCATCTATATACACAAGCTAATTTCAGCCTTGACAATTTTTCCTTAACAAGGAAAAGCTAGCATGACAGCTTTTCCTTTTCAAGTAAAAATTGTTCATTTTAGTCCATCAATCTACATGAGCAAGTTTTCCTTAACGAAAATTTGTCAAGGAAAACTTGCTCGTGTAGATGCAGCTTCAGCAATATTATTATCAAAATAACTAAAATTCATTTGTTTGTTTTTCTTATCAGTTTGTTTTGAAGCACAAAGCATTTGCTCATCTTAGAGAGACCAAGAAAGCACAAAATTCAATTTGTCCAAATAAAAACGGTAATAAGTTACAAAAACTTACTTTATTATTTTTGTTGTGTTTGTTTCTTTTCTTCATTTTCCATCTGCCATTCGTTCACTCATTTCTGTTTTCATCTTTTTCTGCATAACTATTTTTCCATTCATTGAACCCTAAAATCTAAAAACACCAATAAAAAATAGAGTGATGTTTTTCACTGTTGTCCAATTTCCTGATGCCACATGTCATTCCAGCAACAACTATAAGACCAACTTCGCAAGTAAATAATTATTGGTACTCTTCCAATGTTTATTTGTATAGGAAATCACATGATCTTGAGTACAATTCAGAATTTATAGGTGCGAGTGATGTTTTGAAAGCTTTCAAAATTGGACAAGCCTTTAGGCGAGATCAATTTGAGAACTTTCAAAACATCAGTCAAGTATCTATAAATTCCGAATTGTATGAAAAGATTGTGCAATTTTTTGTTTATGATACACTCAAAAAAAAAAAAGCAAAAATTAGGGTTCTACAGAGTACAATTTGGGATTTAATTGGACTCCTCTTATCCAATCAGAATCGAGTAATTTTGTAGAGTGTATTATAAATAAAATAATTGATGAACATTTTCCATTATTAATTTTTCTAGGTTCAATACCCCTGCTAAAGAAAATAATTGATCAAGTCCTTGACCTTCATCCAAACATCAAATATTTCCATGTAGGTGGAGATGAGGTAAGCAGCCATGCACGCTACGTATACAACCTTTTTTCTACAAATCAAGCCAATGGAGCTTTTTTTTTTTAAATCATGCTGTACGGGCAGGCAGTTGTTTCAGCTGTACAAACTGACTGGAAAAACGGTAGACTTAGAAAATCAAGAATTCAAGAGCTGCTCAACAAGTTATGTATAATGCCTCCCAGTTTTCTCAATTGGTTGGCACCTGACTATACATGTATTCTTACTACAAATCTAGCCAAAGGAGTTTTTTTACTCATAATAGTTGTGCAGATAGTCATTTCAGCACAAAATGACTGTATAAACTAAAGGGAGGCTTGGAAAAACTTTCTGCTCATTAGTTCTAACTGCTTCTCAGTTGGTTCAGGTAGTTGGGCACTTGACCATCACGTAGGAAGTCATTCATTAAAGCCTTAGTCCGCGGACCGAAAAACAAAGGGTCTTAACTAAATAAAGATAACTGATTAGAAGGTGCTGCCTTTGCTCCAAAAATGCTAATGGTTGTTATAGACCTTTGCTGTGGCCTGCCATGAGATCATTACCACATAAAGTGCCACTTTGGTCTTGATCACTCAAAGATGTTGAACATAGAGGGCCAAAAGTTTTTCAGTAGCAAGTGTCACATGTAACCCTCTATTAATTAATACTATCAATTATTAATTTCCCTATATTTAGGTGTTCAACTTGAAGACTTGTCCAGTTTGTATGGCAGACTCAAGGAATAAGTCCCAACTTTTTGTTCATCACATGAAACCAGTATTGGAATATGTCAAAAGCAAAAAGCTTACTCCATTGATGTGGGACGATATGATGAGAGAATGGACTGTTGATGACATGAAGGGTAAGGAGGGGGGGTGTAAGGGTCAATGGTGATGTGGTATTCTTAACTTTGCCTTACTCCATTGATGTGGGATGATATGATGAGAGAATGGACCGTTGGTGACATGAATGGGTAAGGAGGCAGGTGAAGGGTTGATGCATGGTGATGCAGTATTTCCTTACCTTTGGGGAAGTTTTGAGTAGCTGACTTATTATTTTAACCTACAGTATCGTGGTTTTACATGTCTCGACTAAATGTATGCTGTTTGCTGTCATCAATCATCATCACACTTGCCATAACAAGTTCCTATATTAGTTGTTTACCAACTGAGTGCTCACTTTTAATGTTGTTTTCTATAGAGTTGAGTGAAGTCATGGAGCCTGTCGTCTGGGCTTATGGAGATAACCTGGAGAATCAGTTCCCTCCAGGTATAAAAGATGCATTGAACAGCACATAAATTATTTCCATCTGTTGTCCATCTATTTAACAAATCACTCATAGATTATCATTGACATCTTAGAATTTCAAAAAACAAGTGGAACCATGAGTGCAGCCAGTGGTTTCACTATGAGGTTTTGATCCTTTCTCAGACTAGTCCATCCCATCCCATCCCATCCCATCCCATCCATCCATCCCATTCATCCATCCATCCATCCATTCATCCCATCCATCCATCTATTCCATCCATCCATCTATCCCATCCATCCATCCCATCCATCCATCCAACAATCCCATCACTCCCATCACTTCCACCCAACCAATCCCATTAATCATATATTTATCAACCACTTAATTGTCAATACAGGTGTAGATCTCTTGTTTTAGCTATAGTAGTGCTGTTGTGAAGAGGTCAATCAATCAGTTAACATATATTAAAATCCACCTATATATTATACATATATCATAATATTAGCTAATATAATTTATTACTAATATTAGACATGTGGATCAGATATTCAGCTGCTTTTCCCAAGATCTGGGCTGCCAGTGCTTTTAAGGGTAAGTCTCTYGGTGCGTCTCATGCCCTTAACTTAGATCAGCCAAGAGGTTGTTTCAGGGTTTGATCTGTGAGTTAGCCATGCCCTGACTTAGATCAGTCCAGAGGTTGTTTCAGGGTTCAATCTGTGAGTTAGTCATGCCCTGACTTAGATCAGCCCAGAGGTTGTTTCAGGGTTCAATCTGTGAGTTAACCATGCATGCCCTGACTTTGAAATTACAGTAACATCACTGTTGCTAAAGATGCTTTTGATAGCTTTATTTATATCAACTCCCACAGGTGCTACCAAACCAAACAGTAACTTTGTGCCGATCCACTTCCACGTCAAGAATAACTTACAGTGGCTCAAGATTATATCGAACATCCCTGAGAGTAGTACTATTGAAGGCATTGCATTGACTGGATGGARCAGGTATTGAATGAATGGAACTTACTCTGAATAAGTACTCAATAGAGGTTTGTCACCATCACCTGATGACAGCCATGTCAAATGGCAGGAGCAATGCAATCGTTTTACATAAGAAAGAATTCAATTCCCAAAAGCAAAGATTTTTTTATTATTCTGCTATCTAACCACAGGCACCCCAAGCTGTATTATAGTAGATGGCACGTGATGGTGCAAAACCTCTATAATTGCAAAATCTTTGCTGGGTTCAAAAGAAGTACAGGACATAGCACAGGGCTTGCACTGTTCCTGGTATTCCTGGAAAACTCCTGGAATTTCAAAAAAATTCTTCCAGGGTCCTGGAAAACCCCTTGAAAATATTGTTTGTAATACCAACTCCAGTATGTCTCTCGTTCTAAAGGAAAACTGTGTCACTATTTCTGACAGGAAATTTTGAAGTTAAGAGTCCTGGAATTCGTATATCTATACTCTGGAAAACTGCTGGAATTTTATGATCTCCTATTCGTACGAACCCTGATAGGAGCTGAGACCAAAATGGTACATGAGAAGTACTTTGATTAATTGTGTCTAGCGATACAACTCGTGGAATATTCATAGATTATTGCACTGTTTATATTGACTGTGTATCTCAAATGAATACATCAGAGGATGATTATGTCATTTCCCAGAATACCTTTCGGTCTCGTCTTCTTTGTTCTCTGTTTTGAATCCCACAATGATTTTGCAATTAAGTGTATAAATAGAGGCTATCAGTTAGCTAAGCATCTGGTACGGCTGTGTATTTCTACGAGTCATGGAGTATTTTGGCGAGCCTTTAGGCGACATAAGTTGTTAGACTGATAAGTTGTTTATCATTTCATTCTACAAAGAAATGCTCAAACTCCCTCTAAACTCTATCGTACTCGATCGCGAGCAGATGAGAAGTGCTGATACGGTCTCATATCAGGCATGGTCTTTTCCCATATCACGCACGTTCTTTGCAGGATTGAATAATAATGGTATTATGCTTTAGTAATGTTTGCTTGTTTGTTTATTTGTTGTTGTTGTTGTTTTTGCTTGCTTGTTTGTTCGTTTGTTTGTTTTTGTATTGTATGTAAATTCAAATGTTTGTTTGCTTTGCAATGGTCAGTAAGTATCATGACAACTTGTTTGTGTTTGTAGGTTTGATCACTATGCTGCTTGTTTGATTGTTTGTTTGTTTTGCAACGGATAAGTATCATGACAACTTGTTTGTGTTTGTAGGTTTGATCACTATGCTGCTTGTTTGTTGTTTGTTTGTTTT